AGTAAAAAAATACAAGTTAGGGTAATTTATTGCTTTTTGCGCCCTGAAATTATTTTTTTTGTAAAATAGAAAAGATGAGGTTGCAGCGAGTAAATGGATATCCAACTTTTGTCAAACCTTAAATTTGAGTGCACTTGTGAAATGGTGACGCTTTTAAAGCCTCCTAGGTCATCAGTATAGCGTTACGGAGTAGCTCTGGTGCTGGAATTACTGCTCTCATTCTGGCATTTGGGCAATATTTAACGTGTATCGCACGTTAAATATCTACGTTTTCATGCGTTTTACAATTTTAATTTTTTTTTCATCACATAGGGGATAATGTCCCCTATGTGATGATTTTTTGTTAACAGGCTCTTTATTGAGACATTCGGGGTCTAAAAGGGGTCTCTTCCCTGAATGTAATGCAGTGCACATCACACTGCATTACATTCTTTCCCAGCCTCAATTGCCAGGAATCTCTCAACGGGGACCCGGAAGTGACATCATAACGTCACTTTCGGGTCAGGACAAGAAAGGGAGGAGAGTGGAAGTGTCCGCTCTCCTCCCTCCCCTCTAGCCGCCGGCGGTGAGCCGGGCCTGCACATGGGCAAGTGGAGCCGGGAGACAGTGGGCAGGGGGGGCACTCTGTGGAAGCAATCGGGGGCAGAGTGCCCCACCTGATAGGTGGACCCTGCTGCTTGCCCGCAGCAGGGCTGAAGGTTAAAAAAAAAAAAAAGCCTACCTGCCTGGTACTACATGCATCGGGCAATAGGAATTCAACATCCCTGGTCTCTCCCCAAAGTGTCATTTCTCTCTGCTGCCTGGTTCCTCTATCAGCATGAGTTATTTCTGTCAGCTTTTCCCAGCACCAAGAGCTCTTCACCTTTTAAGAAATACAATAAATGCACATAATTTTGCAGAAAAAAAATGTACATTTATTTTTTTTCTTGCAGTAGCCTGGAAACCATTGTATCGTGGATTAGGGCTACAGTGTCAGGCTTCTGCAGACAAGCCCTGCAGCTTCCAGCCTGTACCTGTTACAAAGCTGAACTACAATGGCACTCCTCATTGCCCTCCTAGTTCATTCAAAACTGCAAGCCATCAGGCACAGTGGCTGATGTTAGATGTAGTCTATACATTCACAGAAAACTGACTGACTGGTGAGACTGTGTGGGCAGAGTCCCGCAGAGCCACACTCTTTGAATTGTGACAGCGGGTGTTGGGAGAGGATCCCCCACCCACTGTCACACAGGTGGGGATCTGGGGGAGAGGCTGTAGGAACTGGAGCATGTTACATGTTTCACCCTAAATACAGGTGGAACATCTAACCTGTCCAGAAAGGTGAACTTATTCTTTAAAAGGTGACTGGGGAGGGAGCTACATCACTCAGACTGTGACTCCTATCTGCAGCTGTGCTTGTTCTCTGTCTCCTGTGTGAAGGGGGGGTGTCCCTCTCCTCCAGTCTGGGCACAGAGCTGTGGGCTCTGTGAAGACTTCAAATCCCCACCCCCTGCTGATAGAACTTTGAATAAATCCTTTCCTATTTGTGTTTTTAGAGTGATCTACAGAAGATACGGCTGCAGATACACAGTTACAACTTGTTTAGAAATATTTTTCATATCTGTGTATCGCTTAATGCTAGTCCCTTCACTGAGGATCTGTAAGGGTTTACAACCTTAAATTTAACCTGTGGCCAGGCTATGGACACTCAAGTCTGCACATTCTTAACAAGCAATAAATGGGCTTTAACACAAGCCATCACTGACCTCTGTTGCTGGAGGTATTGTAGAGAAATTCCTTCTCAGTTGGCAAAGAAGCTTTAGTCTGTTTCTGGCCACTTTTAATTCACTCAGTTTTTGCTTCCAGCAGTTACTTGGTAGTCTTGTAATGTGTACACTGCACAGGTGCCCTATGTTTACATTTGTCTGGAAAGCTGCAAAGCTACAGCCTTTTTTTTTTTTTTTTTTTTTCACTTTTCACTCTTCTGGATCCTGAGAGGACCCTGCTGCTGGACAGCCAATAGGAAGTGTCCACATCACACAGGCAGTGGCGTGGACACTTGAAGGACTCAGTCTTGTGTAAACAGAAGAGGGAAAAAAAGACTGATCATTGCTTTGGTTGCTTTTGGTTATTTCTTTTTCAGTTTTGGATAGTAAGGGTTATAACCTCTGTTAGGTTTTTTTTTTTTTTTTTGTCCCATTGTAGAGATTTTCCTTTGTTTCCTGTCTCCTCATAGGCACAGCTTTCAGTTGGTGGAAACCCCTCCAAAGTGAAGGAAATCCCTGGTTGTCACCAGAACTAATGTCTCCATTGGGAAAATGTCATTTATTCCTTAGTCTTTTGAAAACTTTGTAATTTTCAGTGATAACGGTCACGAGGACAAATAGGGCATTAATCTTCCTAACGGGGATACATTGATTTTTGTCCATAATTGCCAGAGAGCAGTGGAAGAGCGTGGAATGGTAACTGACAGTCGCTGCTGTCCATTCCGAGCAGACTGAGAGCCGAGCAATCAGTGGTCATATGATCGCTCCGTTTGTCTTAGAGCTGACGTGGGATAGCTACAGCATCATGGAGGTAAGCATGTGTTTTGTTTTTTTTTTTCAAGCCCCATACTTCTTTAAATTAAGAAAGCTTCTGTTAACATGTCAGATGGGATGCAATTGTGTGCTGATATATTGCAGGTGCTACACAAACCAACCATGACAGGGCATATAACTTGGTTTGGCATGTGTACACCCCTGGGCACTTCAGCTAAACTATGGGGTTTTACCACCCCCCAAACTGCGAATTTAAATGAACCCTTTAGGTGCTAAAACAGTGACTCAGCCACATGGTTATACCACCTCACAATTTTACGTGTGAATGAGCCCTAAGGGTTCTGCTGCTGAATGCAACTAAGGGTTCATTCACAAATGCAGTAGGCACTGCTGCTCTTCTGCAAAGCTATTCGAGTGTGTTTGACAGGTAGCAAGGAAACTATATTTTGCCTCCTCACCACCTGATTTAAACCATGAATGCTGTGCAGTGCATGCGGCTGTGACATGGTAGTGCAGCAATTAGATTAGAATTGGGTATAAATCCGGTGTGAGGAGGCAACAGTGTGCCCGGTGATCTTTGACTTCTCCCATGTTGTTCAGGTAGATTTCCACCTCTCTAAGGTTGCCTACCCCTGGTCTATGAAAATACAATTTCCAACATTTGTTTTTTCATGCTCCATTACCATTATATATTATATGAAATTGCTGCAGGTGCCTACACATCCTGCCATCTTTTCAGATGGTGCCAAAGCTTGTCTGTCCCTACCTGCACATTCCTATTACTAGTGTTTCTGTACTTCCTAGTGATGGACCAGTAGGAATAGGAGTATGGGGCAGAGTTTTTATCTGCAAGCTACACTTCTTGAAAGTGTCAGGCCTCCAGAGACTAAAAAAAGCTTTCACCATACTTTTTAACCCACCTACAAATATAGGTTCTTAATGATAGCAGAAAGCACATATTGCTGTCTGCTGGCGGTTACACATCGTGGCCCATATTTTACTACACATTGTTTCATGGATTTTTCTCCCCACTTAATACAAAAGTTTTGTGATTTAGCGGAGATCTAGTCATGTGACTCTGAGGGGTCATTTTTCATTTCCATTTCATTTATATTGTTCTGTATCAATTTCAGACTTCTGTAGCCTCCTGAAGCCTGCAGAGCACAATACACAACTATGTGCTTTATTTTTTTCAAAGGTATGTCTATGGTACCTCCATAGTGCTACATTTTAAATATGCCTCATAGTGATACAAGGACTATCTGGGTATAAAAGAGATTCAGAAATGATAAGCCTCCATGCACACTAGGATCTTTAAAAAAAAAAAAATGACCCTATGATGGTGTGTGATGTGCTCCCTTTTTTTTTTCTTCCCCTTAGCGTTTTCCTGTTTCTGTGCCTGAATTTAACATTTTGTGTAGCTGGTTTTCCTTAACATCCGATGACTCATCAGCTGTCAGCAGGGTTCCCCACTGATAGCTGAATGTAAACTAAAGAATTGCTGGCAATTATAAATTGAGGGGGAAAAAAACAGCATGGGGTCCAAGCCCTTTTGGGTCTGGTATGAATTTTAAGAGGAACCCTATGCCAAATTAAAAAATGGTGCCACCAATTTTTATTTACTCAGCTTTCAGCAGGGAACTCCGCTGACAGCCAATGAGTCCTCTCTTAAGGATACAGCGGCTGGCTTGCCGGCCTGCTCGTTAACAACCATCCAAGAAAATACCGAAAACCTGCTCTTAGTGGTTGTTAGCAGCATTTTGAGTGTGCAGCTTTTTCTTTTTCTTTTTTTTTTTTTTTTTTGCTGGAAAATCACTCCCAAAAATGCAAACAAATCGTGTTGGATATTTTTTTATTTTTTTTTTGCTTTTAGAAGCTGAAGCTTGAAAATCGCCTCTAGCCTTCAGTGGCATGCATGGAGGACACATAAGATAACACTATAACTTCTAGGGGAAGAACAAAAAAAAAAAAAAAAGTTCATAAGTTGCTGCAAGGATCTTAATAAGCCAATGTGCATGGAGCCTAAATTTGTTTGTGTTTGCAAAAAAGTGGGATAAAGCTGGTGGAGGAGAAGGGCAAAATGCATGAAATAATAATACATTCAAAATGATGGCAAACCGTTCTGTATTGCCTCTCTTTGGTGGGCTTGGCAGTCTTGCATGACTGTGACACTTATTTTGTTTTTTTTATCGTTATTAGTTTTTTTGGAGACTAGCATAATCTGACTTTTGTATGTTTGCATTCTATAAAGTTGGTTGGCCAAGCAGTGTGGCCCTGCTTGTACATAGATCCTGCACTTCTTCCTGTTGCCAGTACCTGAAGTAAGTCTAGTGGGGGGACAACCACCATTCTATACAAAGTATAGGAAGGGACAGACTCTGCTTGGCAAATAGTCGATCATGGAACCTGTCTGATATTCTATTTACTATTGAATTCAATTTACACTTTCTGATTTAAATTTTTTTTTTCCCCTGTTTACAGGACACAAGATCATCGATGTCTTAGTTGTAGACTTCTTGGAAAAGCTTGGAAAAACTGCTAAAGGAGGAGGGCGGGGCACTAAGCCCTGTCCTCCTCCTCTTCAAAATACTGCCCCTTGTGTCTTCGGACCCCCACCCTCAGAAATTGCATGTAGGTTTGTCATGAGTCCGTCCGGCTGCTCCCATGTGAACAGCTTTAAAGTGGACAATTGGAAGCAGAATCTGCGTGCAATCTACCAGTGCTTTGTTTGGAGTGGGACACCTGAAACCCGGAAAAGAAAGGTAAGCTTTCTCAAGAAAACCACTCGTTTTCATGTTCCTCTGTAATTTATCAAATTGTATTCTTTGATTAAAAGTTGCTTGTGATTGTCAATTCTAACTGTGCTCCATTTATTGGGTCTAGCCACATCCTTTCCTATCTTTGCTGTCCTAGACCCTCATACAATTTTTGGAGTTCTGTTGTAGACTTGTACTATATGAAAGGGCTGCCCCATTTAGTCCAAGATGATGAAAGGTTGTGAATTGGACGTGACCCATGGAAAGCATTGGTTCCCCTTTTTATGTTCATCCTATTAAGAGCCCTCTCCTCATCTGTAAAGGGATTGAAGAACAAGCAAGGAGAAATAACCAAATTCTGCCCCCCAAATTTCAAGTATTTGTTTCCCTTTAAAAAAATATTCAAAAGAAGACTAACTAAAAAAAACTAAAGGACACTTGCAATAGAACCTTATTGCTCTTTTTTTTTTTTTTTTTTTTTTTTTTTTTTTTTCTTGGTGTAATGCAGCCTTTCTCAACCTTTTTAACATAAATTAACTCTTGAAATAACTTTAAGGTTTCAGGTAACCTGCTGATAATTAGAATTCGCCTGATGGTCAGTAAGAAGAGAGCATCTTGTATTGGTGGTCAGTGACAAGATTGCTCCCCTTACAGATGGCTAAAAAGATAATTGGTATTTTATTTCATATTTATCGCTCCAGAAACACCTAGCATCCTGTGGTGGAACCCTAGTTGAGAAAGGTTGGTGGAGCAGCTATAGGTTGCTGACTCTAATATGATTCCTCCAACATGGGTTTGATCTATATAGTCCTATCCCCCTTTTGCATTCTACACCAGCCTTTCTCAACTAGTGTGCTGTCTGAGGTTGTCAGGGGTGGAGTGCTGTGGAATCCTGGTACAGAAAGACAATCTGATTCAAGCAAGCTCCCGCTCCTCCCCTGAACATCGGCACATCGTGAGCTTGGTCAGCACAGTTAGGTGCAGAGGAGGGGGGGAGTCCCAAGCTCTCCTCTTCCCCCCCCCCCCCCCTACAGGGCAGTACCTGACAGCAAGTGCAGGGTAGAGTACCTCATATTTTAGGACTTGTGTGTTTTTTTAAATGCTTCTGTGTATGCATGTACATGCATTACTTTTAAGCTTGACCCCTAATCCTGTATGATCAGAATTGCTTTTTTAGGGCTTATTCAGCATAGTGGCATGGACTGCTGCTCCTCTGAAAAGAGATCTATGCTTGGATGCTTTTCATATGCTTTTAAAAAGTTAAGTTTACTTTTTTTATTTCTGCAATAGAGGGCAAACCGGTAAACCCATAGTATGAAAATACACATCAAACACAAATACAACTAGAAGATGTTGCTTTTTTCCTCACTAGGTAAATAGGTAGCACTGACTTTCCGTATATACCAGGGGCGACCCAATTTATTATACAGCAAAAAGTGCAAATTTTAATGCAATACTACAGTGGTGCTTAGATGGTCAGAGAGAGCCAGAACCCATGGCTGGCTCGTAGAAATAAGAAGGTTCTTCTCTGATAAGAGTTCAGGGCTTCCCATTCTATGTAAACATAAGTAATCCACTTTATAACCTATGGGAAAACGGTGGGTTCTATTTTAACAGCTTTCCCGCCACCCTATAGCAGAAATACTGCTACAGGGGCCATTGGTGGCTTCAGCTATCGATCACCAGGTCCCGGCCAGTGATTCCCCGCCGGTGATAGTTGGTTATAACTGATGGGGAAGAGACCTGGATGTAAACAATACCGCTCTCCCCTGTCCGCTCATGCAGATTGCTTTGTATTGCTCTGCATAGCAGAGCAATACAAAGCAATGTACTGACACAATAAAGCACAGGCAGCACACTGTAAGACAGCATACATTTAACCCTTTGATCTCCCCAGATGTTAACCCCTTCCTGCCCACTGTCATTAGTACAGTGTCAGTGGTGTTTTTTTTTTTTTTTTTTTTTTTTATAGCACTGATCAATGTATTGGTGTCACTGGGGATGTCAGTGACAGTTCCCTCCTCAGTGTCAGAATGCCTGCCGCAGTCCTGCTATAAGTCACTGATTGACACCATTACTAGTATGTAGCCTCCCTAGCAGTCTGATTATGTCCATATTTCTGTGCTGAAAGCGGTATATTTTTTGCATGGAAATATGTCGTTTTTTTATTGTAGGCCTGTAATTTTTAGGAATAACTCACTGAAATCTGTCCGAACAAGAGTCTAGTGAACCCCCGGGTATGTTAAAATTTGAAACACAAAATCATAAATTATAATTAAATAATCATAAAAAATTTAATAAATTTAATTCAATAATATAATCAAACCAAAAACTTTGAAATTTGAAATATAGGGCCAAGTTTGCACATCACTGAGCAAAGTCTCAGTGTCTGATGACAAATTTCCCATGAATCATCACTCAATTCTGCAAGTGGTTCTAATTTACTATTGCTGTTCTCTAGCTGGTCTAAAACCGCTTTTGACCTAAAGGGACGCTTTTTGGATGCCATGGACATTTCTCAGTTTACAGGCAGGGCACAGGACAAAGCACTAGGCACAAAATGTATGTGAAATGGTTTGATACAGTAATGTTTTACTATGTGATTTTAGTGTATTTAGTGAATGTCACTTTTTCAAATTTTTTAATTTCCCGCCGATCCGTCCCCCGTATGTCCCGACGGCGCAGGGAACGGAACCCAGAAGACAGATACCGGCATCCGCCGGAGGACATTGCCAGGGACACTGCAGGAGGGACATCGTGGGAGCGCAGGACAAGGTAAGTGCAGAAGAGATCCCGGAGCAACGCTGCAAGGTATTCCCGAGTGTAGCTTGGGGATACCGCTTTGGTGCTGAAACTTTACCCCGAGCTACACTCGGGAATACTGCCAGGGAGGTTAAGAAAAAAAAAAAAATTCCAGTGTATGTTTACCCCTATTTGCAGATGCTATAACTTTCACGTAAACCAATTAATTTACAGATAAAACATTTTTTTTTTTTATATTGTCACCAGTCCAGTACAGCGTTTATTATAGAACTGGTGTGGCGGTGACCAGACACTGACTGGTGACAGTATGTAAAAATAAATAATTAAATTTTTTTCTTTTTTATTACATTTTTTCTTTTTTACATTTTTTTTTTTTTTTCCTTCTACACACTGTGACTAAAGCAGTACAATGTTACCATAGTAACATTGAACTACTCTGGGCAAGTGATCAGGGTTTTGTTTTTTTTAACACATTATGATTGCTAATACCAATGTATTTCATTGATATTTGCAATCGTTGTTACTGAATGAAACGGATTCATTCAGTCTTTTTTGTTGTGATTAGCGGTGATTGGGCAAAGCTCATCACATGATACAGATGGGCTGTGATTGGTCAAAGCAGTCACATGATACAGACAGCCAGTCACAGCTAACAAGATAATTGTAAACAATGGATGGCATGACAGGAAGCCATCCATTGTATACAATTGACATGTGATCTGCTGTGATTTGTCACAGTGGTTACATGACACTGGCAACGGGTTGGTGTAGTGATATGTCATCAGCTGTGTCCCGTGGACACAGCCGGTGACAGATTGTGCTGCTGCGTGGCTCCTTTTTGATAAGACGTCATATGATGCCCAGACACAGCGAGAAGTGTCCCGCCCTGCCGTCAATCTGCTATAGGCTGGGTGGGAAGGTGTTAAAGCACTTTTTAAAGGCCCCCTGACTGGAAAAAGGTTGAGAAACTCTGTTCTACACTATCGCAAGGGGACATTTGGTCCTTGCAAAACATGGAGGTGTATGTCTGCTTGTGTATATGTAAGGGGGTGGGGGTATAATGTTCAATTAGAAAGGGCTTAAAGTGAACCTGTGCCCAGAATATGTACACCAGTATTGACTTATGCTGAACAAGTAATAACATTAATTGAAAAGCAGTCCTATAGCTACACTTTTTTTTGATGCTTTTGTATTAGATTTTTCCACTTAAATCATCGGGAAGAGATAAGAAACCCTTTGTGCACACCAGTCTACACTATGGACACTGACACCTAAGCTCCAACTGCACCTTGGTCTATAAAAGCATCCTTTAGCTGCAGTTACTGTTCTCATACTGGAGTAGATGTACTTGTACAAGTTCTCTAATCATGACACTTGCACCCTTCTCCCTCTTGCCCTTCTGTAAAGCCTGTAAGCAAACTTGCTTATTGTATACTGTAGACCATACAAGAGTAGGTTTGCTAATACGAGGCTATCCCACATGTGCCTATGGATCTACTTCTGTATACAAAATAATTTACAGTGAGTTTGAAAATACATTAGAAGTCCTAGTTATAGAAACTGGAAGTGGTTCAAAAAAGATCATCATAACAACTTTGACTAGTATTTTCTGAAGAGATCAGCAATAGCAACCTACATATCAGCACAGGATTGCTCCACTTTTTAAGGTGTTGTGTGTGTTTTTTTTTTTTTCTTCTTTGTACAGTTCTTTGAAATTCTCAGCCCTGTAATATGTTACCTACAGTAAAATTAAAGTGAAGCCCGAGCTGTTGGCAGCTAAGCCTAAAATTGCTCCCACCACCCCCTTCTTACTAATAGGCCTGTAGAAGGAAGATACTTATAAAGATTCTCAGGGTGCTCCGGTCTGGTCATGTGATCTCACCAGCAGCCAGCTTCAGGGGAGAGAGCAGCAACAATGGCTTGTATGCCTGGGCGGTGATGTCACCCATAGGCTTACTATGGGTTATCCTTCGTCGTATCCCTCTTTTCTGAAGCTGCTGCTGTGAGCCGGTTACATGTCTGGGTCAGAGAGCACCCTTAGAATAGTTAAGTATAAGAATCTTCTTTCTCCAGGGTAGTTTGCATAGGATTTTGGATGGGATGGGAGAAAATGTAAGAAGTATGGACATATGAAAGAGTTCCCCAAAAAAAGATAGTTTCATGTGGGACCATGCAGCTTTATCAAAGTGCTTTATTAGAAAAAACAAAACAAATGTGCATTTCACAAGTATACACACAGAAGCTGAGCACACCACCACCGTAATTTCACCAAACTAAAAAGACGTGTTCTCGTCACCTTTGCAGCTGTTCATAAAACCTCCAACATACACACTTAGGGGGAGAAAGGCTAAAGGTGCAACTTGGGAACATCTGTGGCAATAAACCATGTATTGAATGTAAGTGTTAGATGATTGTCATTCAGTAATGTCCCATATACTATAGATAGGAGTCAGGTTGGGGACCATATATAATTTGTAATTATAGGACGCCTGAGAGTCCAGTTACATTTTGCAAATGAGGCTTGGCGGTCACAATCCGGATAGGAAGGTCCTATTAGTTGGCCAGTTTAGGCCATTTAATGTACCACCATCCACTCCATTAACACAGTTGCCAAATAACAGATTCATGAACAGCATTGTAAATACACAAGTGTTCCATTTCTCACCATCCCTTTAGGTGTTCACTGGGCTTAATTCCAGAAAGCCACGATTAGTTCCATAACTATACCACTAGATGGTGTCTGGATCCGTTTTTCATGGGCTGTACCGCATCAGCAGTAGTTGAAGTCCATACTGTATACATGGCAGGAAGTGCTGGATGCCCAGACATGTGATGGAAGTCGGATGGGACGGCCGCAAACTGCGGGGACGTCACACTCAAGGCATGCATAGGGAGGTGCGGTCCAACATGTTTCACCCAGTGAGCTTGGGCTTCTTCAGTTCTCTCCCTCCGCTCTGAGCAAAGCTGTGACTCCGTTTTATGGCTTTCTGCTCTGCCCCTCCAGTGCTCCCTGGAGCGCTGGGCTGTGGAGGGGGCTGGCCCAGCCTCTCGACTGAGGAAAGATCCCCACTTTAAAGTCGGGTTTCACTCCAGGATATGGAGCAGCACCTGGCTCAGGCTCTCAGCAAGCTGCTGAGAGCCTGAGCCAGCTGCTCCCTTCACCTCCACAGCCCAGCGCTCCAGTGAGCGTGCAGGGTGGGGCAAAGCAGAGAGCGGTGACTGACAGTCCCACTTTCTGCTCAGGGTGGCTGTGAGGACTCAACGGTCATGTGATCGCAGACTTCTCACTGTTAGAGCCGGCGGGGGACATATGCAGCATCTGACCGATGCTTCATCCACCTAGGTAAGTATGGTTGGGGGGAATTAAATCCCATACTACTTTTAAGATCCCTGTACAGGCTGTGGCTGTATTTAAGGATCTTATAGACAAACTACTGTAGTCACTCTTTTCTCTGGTAAGCCCTGCATGGCAATCTGCCGTGGTTGTGATGCTGGTCTGTTAAACCTTAACTAGAACGAGTCCATGCCAGCGGAGCCAGCTTTACTCCACACAAATCGTGTATTTGTGAAGTCCAGCAATACTGTGTCAATGGTGTAGTGGATGTCTCCTATCTTGTTTCCTGTATGAGTCACCTATCCATGAACGTACCTTCTTTTTTTTGGTTGAAATTTTGGTCTGAAGAACAGGCATATAAACAAGTGGAAAGAAATCATTCCTCTTCCTTTTGAGGCAAGAGTTTATAGAAACATTGAAAAGTGATGGCAGAAAAAAAAGAAAGTTGCCCATAGTCTACCCAATTTTTTTTTCCTCTTTTGACTGGTGCATCTGTTTGTCTCAAGCATGTCTGAATTCACTTACTGTTGTCTAACTAGAGATAGAAATAATAGATAGCTGAATACTAGAATAGTGATGATAGAAAAAAGTTAATTTTGTTATTCCCAGACTTAAACCTTTAAGGCAAAACCTAAGCTAGGAGTGCAATTTCTCTGAAAACCCTTGGCATTTAAATCCCCCAGACCAGTAGACTAGTCCTTTTACGGCATGACGGGGCACCCCCACCTTTTAAGTGGGGGCGTTCGTTAACCTTTGTGGGCATTTAGACAGACTGCATCCCAGACGCATAGATACAGGAGGTTTTTTTAAACAGGCTGCAGGCTAGAGTTCTGCCCTGGATCCTCTCCTTGCTTCATGTTATCCAACCTTCTGGTGGTGTTGCTCAGATTAGTAGAACTCCGGCACCACCATGCCCTTCACCACACCTCTTGGTTATCTCCTCACCTTTATATTATGGACTCCACTGCAAAAGGAAGATCAGTTGTGCTTTCCTTTTATAATTGAGACCACAATCCTCTTCAGCATTCGCCTGGTCGCTACGGATCTCCCAGGAATAGATGTATTAAAAAGAAGCAAAGAAACATCCAATAGTGCAGACTGCTAGTTTATTTCCATAAGAGAGTTTAAATTCCACTCGCATGTTAAAAAGTTCATAGAGGCATGTCACAGGCTATTGGCATATTCAACTTTCCAAAATGGCGTCTAAACGTCACCCAATGTGATGAGGTCACTACTAGTCTGACGCATTGCGCCACAGTTGGCTTTCGCAAAGGCTCAGGCTAGTCAGCAGCACCACTCTCCTATACCTCTACTGCATTGTCATAGCAGCCTTTTACCACACTCCAACTGCCATCTTTTTGGCGCTCCAAAAAGATGGCGGCTGGAGTGTGGTAAAAGGCTTCTAGGACGTTCGGGGTGCAGTGATGTATAGGAGCGTGGTGTTGTTGACTATCCTGAGCCTTTGAGAAAGCAGACTGGGCGCAGTGCATCAGGCCGGCAGTGAGATTGGAAGCGCTTCACCTGTATTTGATAAAATTCCTTCATTGCAGCTGGACTTTAATTTGTTAGTCACTTGTGCAAAGTACATCTAGGTCTACAAATCAATCTAACACAACTCTCTCTACTGTGAAAAGGTGTCTCCCTTGTTCCTCTATGGATAGGGAAGCCATCCTAAGACAGGACATTTATTAAACTGAAAACCGAAACTTAATGCAGCCATGGCATCTTAAGATTGGTAACCTGACATATGTACAATTTTTGGGGGTTTAGATATGCTTTAACCAGTCCTGCTATCCAGTCCCAGTACATCAGTATGTTTCCTCCTATTTTCTGGCTGTAGTTTGATCTTTGTGTCTGCGTTGTAGCCACTGCCTCATTAGAAAAGACTGACTCCCTCTTTATCATCACTAATGGCCCTCTTAAAGGGGAGACCTTTTCTCATTTCGCCACATCTGTGGCTTGGACAAATCACCATTGAAGTTTATGACTTTGAGGATCATGTTGTTGCCTTTCCTGTCAAGGCACACTCTGGATCTTTGAGGCTTCCTGGGCTTTTCAGCACCAGGCAACAGTGTCCCAGATCTCCAAGGTTGCGACCAGGTCTTCTATTCTCTAAAAGCCTCTATTCACCATGGGGTGTGGGTGGGGGTGTCCTTTTTAGGTCTTGGTCTTTTTCTTTTTTGAGCATTTGTACAAGCATTTTTTTGTGCATTTCAGGCCAGAGCATTTTTTTTTTTTAATTTTTACCCAGTGCAAAGGGAATTGCAAGAAAATAGGCCTTTGCATGCGCTTCCATTGTAGTCTGTTGGGACCAATATGCACAACTCTGCCCCAAAACAAACCCTTGTAGTTTAAGTGATGCTACCACCCAAGTGGTAAAAGGGTACCAGTGAATATAGACGCTCCTAATGTTGAGTGTTTGAAACACTTCTGCTAACGATTTAAATTGCGCTTCAAATTTTCCAGGTGTGAACCTACAGCTTTGGCAGTAAGATCCTACAGATGGCTCTTTGCATTGCTAGCAGTGCCCAGTTTATTTACTTGGGCCTTTTAGCATTTTGTTTGCTGCTTCTTCCACTACTTAGTTGGACTGCTATTGTACATCTGTCATTGAATCAGGAGTCTCTTAATGAAATACAGGACATAAAGCATCTTCATTCCCCTGAAGATAGGATTATGCTGCCACTTTTAGGTGATCGGACACTGACAAAAAAGGCAGGAAATCCCCTCCTAGGCATAAACCCTCTGCTTGTTAGGCAAAGGTTAAATTTTTTTTTTTTTTAGTGGCTTAGGTGATGGGCATGTCTGTGCAATCTCGGCACAAAAAAATGGCTTCTGAACAGTGATTAGGAGACTAGCTTTTTATGGATCCACTTTTCTACAACTTATCTATGATCAGAAGAATGGTACCCGGACCCTGCTCTGGACACATGGGGACGGTCTGTAACACTGCTGGTCAGCACTGGATGATATATTGCTTTGTGGACTGGTGGGGTGCTGGCAGGGCAATGATCCTCTTTCTTGATATAGGGAAAAACTCAGATTTTTGGTATTTTAAAATATTGATTAAATGTACTTACTATAACTGAGTTCACATGTGTTGTAAAAAAAAAAAAAAAAAAATTTTATATAGAAGTTTTTTTGTGTGCGCCTCCCTCCTTTTTTTTTTAGAGGCTACCTCTCATATGTTGTGGGAGGTGCCATTCCTTTTCATTTACCCTATGCAGACAAGTGTTAGTAATGGTTGTGATCTTTGTTACTGTTGAGGAGACTTGTATGACCCGTGCTGCCACAATTTATTTATGTTTTTAAGACTGGATATTTAGCATAATGCATTTAAAAATGTACACAACAAAAAGTGATAGGAAACAAAAGGTGTTAAAATCCTGACCGAGTTTCTAAACTTTTATTACTGCATTAGAAAATTTTGTATTTGCTTCCTGTGTCCCTGTTGGGGATTCCCCCCTTGCTTCCTGTTTAGAGAGACAATAAGAAGTTGGGAAATTTAAAATTTTCTCTTCCGTCCAAGACCTGTGAAATTAACAAGAAGTGAGGAGAAACTGCTAAGTGGGGACACATGACAAAAAAAGTTAATGTAATAACCCTTCCCACTTTTTTGACTGGAGTTAGGTTTTAAGAAATTTATTAATTTAAGTCGTAACTATATTAAAGTGTGTTCTTTGTGACTGTAATTTGCTTTTAAAAAAAACTTTGTATTCAATGAGTTAGGAATATAAACACACTAAAATAGATTCCGGATTTATTTATGTTTTTAAGACTGGATATTTAGCATAATGCATTTAAAAATGTACACTTTGCTAGTGATTAGGTACCTACCCCCTCCTTTTTTTTATTTTTTCTTGCAGGCTAAGTCGTGCATCTGTCATATGTGTGGTGCTCACCTGAACAGACTTCACTCTTGCCTGTATTGTGTGTTCTTCGGTTGTTTTACAAAGAAACACATTCACGAACACGCAAAGCTTAAAAGACACAATCTTGGTAAGTTATTTCAAAGAACAAAGTTGTTGCTGTTATTCTACAGCTAATTCTAAGCAGAGGCAGTTGGTAAATTTTTTGCATTTTCTTGATGTAGAGTCCTTAGTTTTCTGTAATACTACAGGAAATTACCTGACTGCAGATATGCAATAAGAGATAGTCCAAACCTGCCCACATGCTGCAGGAGAGGGTCAGAAACTATGAACATGCTATAGGAGTTGTTGGACTGTTGAGATGCTCCAGGAGGCAGTAACAGACTGAAGAACAATTACATGAAATTGCAAGAGATCACTGCTATTACAAGCCCCTCTAAAATCCATTATTTTGTTCTTTGTGCTCAATACAGCTCACTTAAGAATTATTTGTACCACTTTTTTTATCTGGTAAGAATTAACTGTTCCGCAGAAAGGGATCCATGACAAAACATTAGTCCAAAAAATAAAAGGGATGGACAGCACAGAAAAAATATTGTGAAAACATTACACCAAACCATTTTATTTGTTAGCACTTTGTCTCAAAAATATATCATCTTATAGGACACAGGCATATTCATACACCATGGGTTGTAGTTGTATACGTTCAGGTGACTGGACATTGGCAAAGCTTTAGAGGACATGCCCCCTCAGTGCCTCCTCTATAACCCTACTCCGCACTGCGAGTCCTCAGTTTTTTGCTAGTGTTGGAAAGCAATGCACCATTTCTCCTTCACGGAGAAAATCACCATTTTAGCTTAACTAGTTTTTACTTTTTTTTTTTTTTTTTTTTTTTTTTTTCTTCTTGATTTTATTGGGATTCTTCAGTAAACTTCTTGCTATCTTCTAATGCCAACATAAAAGCGGTGTATCTAGATCAGAGTGGTATTTTGAGCCATACCCAAATCCCCACACTCTGGTCTCCCTGTAATGTTTCTTTTGGCATTGGCTCCTGACTAGGTGCTCACCTTGGCACTTGGTGCAATGTGTCGAATGAGCAGGTATGTGCTATACAGGTCCAGGTCTGCGGTATATTGCTATCCAATGCCTGACGAGCTCTTCAGGGGTGTGCCCACCGTGACAGCCAAAGCCTGGACCTTTTTATATACAGTCTAGCATCCTGTACAGTGAAGACCAGGTTGCCCTCTATCTTAAATGCTTTCTCTAATCTTGCATGCCCTACAACCAGCTTTTGCTCTTCAATTTCAGTATGTCCAACTGCAGGTAAGTGGACTAGGACAATGGAGTACCAACGATACCCTGTTTTTCAGGATCATGCTGTTTCTGAGCGATTTGCTTTTTCTGTGCGGATGCCCTAGAACATGTCATGAGACAAATTTCCAGGAAGCTTCTAGTCGCATACGCAGCAAGAAGCTAGGACAGCTGAAGCTGCCCATGAAAGGTGCCTCATAAGCGTGCCTTTCCAAAGAAGACAGCTGTTTTGATGAGGCATTTGACCAATTCATCAGAGATCACAGTAGGGAAGGTTTTTTTACCTCACAGTGCAAGGTCCCTAGAAAACCTTGTCAGGAGCCCATATCGCCTCTAAACATAGAGCACCTGTCTGCTCTAACCAGGCTTCAACTTCAAAACCAAAGTGCAACCCTTCCTTTTGGCACAAGGCTTGGCCCGCAAAGGACGCGAAGCCTTCCCCAAAATCCCCTTGACAATGAAGGGGCACCCTCAGCTCTAGGAGTGGAGTTATGTCTGTTAGCTGCCTTTTTTTGGATCCCAGACCTGTGGGTTCAATCTGGTTTCTGGTATGTTTGGTTTTTTTTTTTTATACCTTTTTCAAATTTAACAAAAAACTGCCTATAGTTTGATTTTTCAGAATGCGTTGAACCAATTGAATGCCTATTCTGAACTTGAAGGAATTTGTTAAGGAACTTTAAGTTTTTAAAAATTTTCATGGAATTTGTAAGGTCCGTAATTGACTCTCTGAAACAAGGCAGTTACATGGTATCTGTGGATATCCAAGATGCCAGGGGGCGTGTCCTCTAAAGCTTTGCCAGTGTCCAGTCACCTGAATGTGTTTGCCTATAACACTTGGTGCATGAGTGTCCTGTACTGTACTCAAAGATATGAAATTTACATGCAAGTAAAATAATTCCTATTTTCCCTCCCTGACCTGAATAAGCACCTAGGTAAGGAAAACGGCAGACTGTCTGCAGGGGCTCTAAGGGCCAGAGGTTGGACACCAGGGTTTTATAGGACGTACTGAAGATTGTGTTCTGCATTGAAGAGTAGCTCCATGTTAGTTGAGAAAATATTTACCCTCTGGGTGATCACGATACATTGAAGGAATTTAAACAAAATTTGTTGCAGATTCCTACCTTTTTGTGGTTCTGAATAAATGGCTGCTTCTGTGTTCATGTGCAGAAAGAATCTGTATGGGAATGATTTTCTAATTCTCAATCTGCTGCTGAACTTGCAGGGATCTAATGACGAAAGAGGCAAAGTCTGTGTACCTTTTTGGACGTGATTTCCCTTTGGGAGTATCTTACCAAAAATTAGCTTTGTTGCAGAGAATGCCCAAAATCTGACTTGCATCTTAGTTTAGACTTCTAGGAAAGTCAGTAAGCCAATCACACAAGGAGGAAATTATTTTTCAGGGGGCAGTTTTCTGTGTACAGAATGCCTTCAGGTTCCCATATCGCATTGTTTAAAAAAAAATTACAGTCCTGCAGATTGAAAAGGAAAGTGTGTGTGTGTGTGTGTGTGTGTGTGTGTGTGTGTACCTCTTTATTAGGTACACCTTTTCAATTGATATGCTTGGTAACACAAATTTCTAATCAGCCAATCACATAGCAGTAACTCAGACATGGTGAAGAAGACTTGCTGAAGATCAAACCAAGCATCAGAATGGGGAAGGGGATTTAAGTTCCTTTGAATGTGGCATGATTGTTGGTGCCAGACAGGCTGGTCTGAGTATTTCAAAAACTGCTGATTTGTTGGGCTTTTCACACACAACCATCTCTAGGGTTTACAGAGAATAGTCTGAAAAAGAAGAAAATATCCAGTGAGTGCCAGTTGCATAGACAAAATTGCCTTGTTGATTTCAGAGGAGACTGTGCGGACTGGTTCATGATGATTGAAAGGCGAAAGTAACTCTAGGTATGCAGAATACCATCTGAACGCACAACACATCGAACCTTGAAGCAGATGGCTTACAGCAGCAGAAGTCCACTCTGGGTGCCACTCCTGTCAGCTAAGAACAGGAAACGTAGGCTATAATTCACACAGGCTCACCAAAATTGGACAACAGAAGATTGGAAAAACATTGCCTGGTCTGATGAGTCTAGATTTCAGCTGTGATATTGATATGGTAGGGTCAGAATTTGGCATAAACATGAAAGCATGGATCCATCCTGCCTTGTGTCAAAGGTTCAGGCTGGTGGTGGTGTAATGGTGTGGTATATTTTCTTGGCACATTTTAGGCCTCTTAGTACCAATTGAGCATCGTTTAAATGCCACGGCCTACTTGAGTATTGTTGCTGTTCATGTCCATCCCTTTATGACTACAGTGTACCCATCTTCTGATGGCTACTGACAGCAGGATAATGCACCATATCACAAAGCTCAAATCATCTCAAACTGGTTTCTTGAACATGATAATGAGTTCACTGTACTCCAATGGCCTTCACAGTCACCAGATCTCAATCTAATAGAGCACCTTTGGTGGAACGGGAGACTCTCTTCATGGATGTGCAGCTGACAAATCTGCAGCAATTGCTTGATGCTATCCCGTCAATATAGACCAAAATCTGAGGAATGTTTCCAGCACCGTGTTAAATCTCACAGAATCAAGGCAGTTCTGAAAGCAAAAGGGGGTCCAACCCCGGTACTAGCATGGTGTACCTAATAAAGTGGACTGTATATGTGTGCGTGATCTATATTTTGTATTTTTCACAATATGACTTGTGCCACAATTGTATACGCTATGAAAGTGGAGCTATTCTTTTTAAAGTGGTTCTAAAGTCTCAAGGTTTTTTTTTTTTTTTTTTTACCGTCATGCATTCTATGCATGACGGTAAAAAAAAACCTGTGTGTAGCAGCCCCAGAACACATACCTGAGCCCCCTCTTTATTTAGCGATGTCCATAAGAGCCTCAGTTCTCCAGTGACTCACTCCTGATTGGCTGAGGCAGCAGGGGGAGCCATTGGCTTCTGCTGCTGTCAATCACAGCCAGTGAGCCAATCAGGAGAGGGAGGAGGTGGGGCTGAGCCGTGGCTCTGTGTGAATGGACAGGCAGAGCTGTGGCTCAGGAGCACACCTGCTGGGGTGTCCCCATAGGAAAGGTGCTTGCTATAGGGGCACCCGACAGGAGGGAGGGGCCAGGAGCACCAGCAGGGGACCTGCGAAAAAGAGGATCGGGACTGCTCTAGGCAAAACCACTGCACAGAGCAGGCTAGTATGACATTTTCTTAAAGACTTTAAGGTCAAAAAATGTTTAACCACTAGTTCTCCCTCCCCAACCCCCAAACACTTACCTGAGTTCTTTATTGATCCTGAGCTGTACCGACTGCATGTCTTTTCTCCTTTCTTCCTAGTCTCACAGGAGATTGGGACAGGGGCCAGTGTAATTAAAATCCTGTGAGGCGGAAGTGAGGGGCAGGATGAACCACACTGTTTTTGTGAACACTCACACCCACATGTTCTCCATAGCACACAGCTTAATATGGGGGTACAAACAGGAGAGGAAGAAGAGCTGACCGCTCCAATGGGGGACTCCAGAAGTGAAGGTAAGGGGCTGCTCTGTGCAATGCCATTACACAGAGCAGGCAAGTATAAACCTTTTCTTATTTTAACTTGCGGGGGTGGGAACAAAAAAGGCTTTATAATAAACTTTTAAAATAGCTGAGAACCTGTTTCATTGACTAGGAAGACCTTTAATTTTCAAGTAAAATATAAGGCACTTTTTTTTTTTTTGTATGCAGCTCTGCTTTAGATCACCAACTTGGGTATAGTGCCACAAGCAGGAGTGAAATTCTCAGACCCCAATTGGTGGCCAGAAACCCTTCACACAGTGGA